ACCTGTGCTGAAACCAGGCTGCTTCAAATTTATCCCTGAACTGATTTCAGTTTTTCTAGATGAATTCCCCATGCAGGCGCATCCACCGGAGCCGTCTTAATGTACAGCTTCACAAGGTGCCGGAGAATGGCCATCAAGCAATCGAATTCTGCCTTGTCGCTGCCCCATTTGCTCGTGTACCATGGTTGTCCGGGGAACCTGCCAGACCAAAACATTCCTGAAGGGTGCCGGTGAATGCCAAGGCCGATGACCGTAGGCAAAGCTGTGTAGTCCCATCCATCCTGTTTGGATATCTGGACCAACTTCTTCCAAGATTCGCTCAGATGGAACCTCTTTGAACGATCCAAGCCACAAGGTAGGGCAGAAGGACCTTCAGAAGCTGCAGCGCTCTTCCTGTGCCCCTGCAGTTTCCAAGAACTCTGCATTGCATACTGCGTCATCATCTGTATTGGCTTCATCAACCCCGCTGCTCAAAGCATCTTCATCTGAGCATTCATCCCCCTCTCCATTCGCATGGTTTGTCTCGCATGGAAGCCGAAGGTCTCCTTCTGGTGGCATCATGTGGTCGTGGTCGCTCTCACTATTTGTATCTTCATGTTGACCCGGTTCCTCTTCTTCGCTCTCTGCACCTGATGACTTAGCATCAGGAGGCACCCAAACAACCAACCAAATCAAACATGTTCGATCATATCATTGAAACAAAGACATAACAGCACAGCCCACAACATAAAACCACCAAACAGTCAAGCTGAACTTATATACACTGAAGTTTTTGATCATCAAAACCAATACCAGCCACCATGACATGGCACTGACACCAACCCCTGATCTCGCCTCCATCGTATGCGTCTCTGATCATGTCCAAGCCATTCACCATGTCCTTGGTGTTCAGAAGAAGAAGCTTCCTTTTGGGATACTTGTCTCCTGAAATCCAGTATGTGCCTGGTCCATCCACCAGCTCTGGATTGTTGAGAGTCATTGTGACATGGAGTTCTTCCAAAGACTGGACTCCTTTTTTAATCTGCTGTGGTGTCGCAATCTGCTGCCTCCTTCAAAAAAGAAAAGCTCCATGTCGCGGCCATTGACTTGCTGTAGCTTTGTTTGCCACTGGACTGGTTTCTTTGTGCTCAATACCTTCCTACCCCTCCTGTGCTGGCAGACCAAGCGTTCAATGCAAACAGAAATGGCACTTGGCAAGAACGCATGATTCCCATCATCTAGCTCCACAGCCCAGAGCAGTCGGCTGGTGGGAGGGGGTTGCACAACATCGTTGAGGACACCACACTGCCGCAGCATACCTGATGCATCTAATGTTGCCAAGGCCTCTTGATGGCTCATCTCTGGATACTCCGGGTAATGGTTGCTGGAAAAGTACCCGGCAGCCGTCCACGACGCAGCGAACACCTGCAATGGCCTCACCAAACAAATGCTCTAAGCAGAAACTGCTCCATACCTACACCCTCAGTGCCATGTCATGACTGCAGGGTACACTTTACGTATGGATGTTGATTCTATTGGATTTTAGTATCTATATACATATAATGTGTATATATAATATATAAATAGATCATCATGTTGACATAGGATTCAATCTAACTGCGGAAAAACTCTCTAGCTACAGGCTTGGCAGTGTCATGTCATGTGGTTGGTTTCCAGTCCATGTGCTTCAGACATCTCTCAACAACCTGATGAAGGATCTGAGCTCAGCACACAGATTTCCAAGCGAGAAGGCTGCGATCGGGGAGAGTTTTCACATCAAGCTTTTTGTGCCCTGGCTGTCCTGATGCCTTCACTGGCATTGACTGATACTCTGGACGGGATCTGATGTCAGCAATAAACCCACAATCTGCATTGTCAGCTAAATCCAACCTCGATCTATAGATGTGATGCAGTTGATCGACCGGTTGGGCACATGCGCTCCAGCCGCCCACTTGCTGGTCGGGCAATCGGACGTTGACATGGGTTGCCCACGCTGCACGCGCTGTATCAAGACCTGTGCTAAAGCTGTGGTATCCGGTCCAACCGTCCACGAGCAACAGTCCTTCGTGGGAAATGTCAAGGCCGTGCTTTGCTCTTTGCACTGCAAAGGCGTCAACGTAGAGTTGTTGTAGTAAGATCAGCCACGTTTCACCGTTGAGGAAGTGGGTTTTCCTCTCTGATGCAAGTAGTAGACACTCTCCACGATGCTTCTGGTTGAACTCAGCCACGAAAGAGGCATTGAACATGTTGCCAGGATAGCATGGCCCTAAAGGGCCAGGCGATCCATCTGACCAGGAAGAAGTGACGGCCGTGAGGGCCAAACGAGATCCGTTGATGTTGTCAACACGGGCAATGAGCCCTCCATGTTGCTTCTCTCCTAACATATCCATATCACTGTGATGACATAGCACTGACACAGACCCAAACCAACTTTAATATATAAAGGATGTATGAAGAATTCCATTGAGGATGTGTATTCTTTTGGACCTCTTCTCATATAATATATCACCGGAGCACCCCCCTACATAAATCAGCACCCTGATGACATAGCACTGACAGACCAACAAAAAGCAAAAAAAGGGCATGCATCCGTGATCAAGAAACGGTTCTTGACTTTCATCAGGGTCTTCTTGCCGGTTCTCAAGCTTTGCCTCCACACCTGGTCCACATTGAGAACCAAAAAGCCGTGCACTCCAGATGCCAGGTGCTGGTGCAGTTGTTTCCTCGACGCTGTTAAACGAGGGTCGTCCCACTCCAGGTAGGCGCCCCCAGTGTTGACTGGGGATTGCTTCCATCGCATCATCTCCAAAAAGCGTCTGCACCATCTGCCATCTAGAGGAGGGCATTCCTGGGGTTCAGGAAGTAGACACCTGTGGAGTGTGTCACGGCAAGCACCAGCTGCAACAAGGTCTTGGGTCATTCGCTCATTGTGCAATGCCACAGCTGCTTTTGCCTCTTCGAGGCCTTTGTTGTAGTCCCGTGCCAGTTTGGAAGCGGTCACCACCTTGGAAGCTGAAAAAGACACCCGTTCTAAGGTCATTATCCTAGCTTCAACTCATGACTTGGCACAGGCACATCCATGAGGAGAAGGGGTCAGCTTCTGCAAACAGATATGGAGAGGTCTAAACTACACCACAACTGCCTCAACGCATTTCACAGAAAATAGAGGCCCCGACAACGTGACGCATCAGCACTCTGTCTCGTCTTTGGCACACCATAGAAAGACCCTGGCAGTGCTCGGTGATGGCCGCATTCAACTCCTGGCATGGGAAGGTTAGCACCAAGGACTTTCAACTCTGGGGTTTTGATCCGCATTGTGGATTTTTTGGACACATAATAGAGCTATGTC